TAGTACGCATTGGCATGGCCATACCAAAGCATCATGTTGTCTCTATGATCCACAGATCAACGACATACTGTCCTTTTTCGGCTGTTTGCACCGAAGTATAATACGGCGAATTTCTTGTTGTAAGGAACTAGAGGTTAATAAGAGATGATTTGGTACCGGGTCAGAAGTTTAACTTCTGAAACAGCTCGAATCTAGTGTAGTTCAATTTTCTGTTCGACTGGCAGCTCCGATGAACGTCGTAGTGCCTATCTTCGAGAAGAGTTAACAGATTTGAGTCTTTGGCATGGCTTCGGTGTGCACATAATGTTTACTGTGTCTGTTGTTTGTTTCACGATTCTAACTAACGCAGTGAGTAGAAATGCGATGAGGTTCCTCAGAAGTTTCGACGATTTGTCAACTTCTGATGTCAAACCAGGGAGGTATCAACCTCCAGTTTCATATTCTAATGCATAGCAAACATGCAGTTAGTTGTGGCGACACTGACGACAAGCACGCAGTACTAATCTTCTTGAAAGGTTTGTCAACAGCTGATATATATATATATCTCGGGAACTGATATCGCGGTGGCTTATCAACCGACCTGTTCGACTGAGTTGGTCTTGTTGTGCTTTCTTGTGATAGTTCTGTGTTGGAAATATTTTTTTGATGTTTTGTTTGTTTAAGGCCATTGTTGACGAACATGGTGGCTCGAAAGAAAGGAGCGACTGAACTCGGATACGAAGATCCGGTCATTGCCCAGGGAAAATGGCGGTTGTTTTATCCGAAGATAAGAGAAGAAGACCCGCTCTAGTGAGTGGTTGCAGTTAGAATCCGAATTCAAATTTTAAATGCATAATTATTGACGCAATTACAAGACAAGAATCCGATTCATTTCGTGATTTTTCAAAAGCGTTAAAATGATTTAAGAAGAAAATAACTTTTGTAAAGGTCATATTTACATTGGTTTCTTTCTGAATGGTAGGCATTTTATGGCTTCATTTTTTCGTGTATTTTATTTACAACCGTCGAACTGTTGTACCTATGTTGAAAATGGTTTTTCATAATCAATTTTCGCGTCAACGTTTAATAAAATGGCTAGAATGGCTAGCGGCGTTCACAGAGAACTAGTTTAACCATTGTCACCAAACCAGAGCTGAGTCTGAAGACTATGCTCTCGGTTAAGTTGTTCTTCATCCCGATGCTTACCTATGGTTACGAATCAGGGCACATGACTGAAAAAGAGGTTTAAATGGGCTTTATGAGATGAATCGCTTGCTTTATGAGTCTAGACATGGTGCGTACTACGGATATCCGACAGAGCCTTGGTGCACAATCTTTGTTTCTTCAGATTAAGAGGTCATAGCAACGATGGTTTGGGCACGAGTTGCGAATGCTTCCTGCAAGGAAGGCGAAACAGCTATTACTTATCCAACAGATAGACCGTAGACCCTGGGAATGTCCAACAGTAACTTAGGGCAAGTGTATGGAAAGACTCTACTCCAGACTCATACTGTCTTCTGCTTAATTTGATTTGGTAACAGGATCAAGAACGCTGGTGACAGTGTCTGCCGCGTCTACCTCAGCAACATGAAAGAATAAGCGGTCATCGGAACTAATTGAATGTTGTTTAACGATAGAATGATCTAATTCTTTAAATCCTGGCAGTAGATAATAAAACATAATGTTGCAAATGCAGCTATCCCTTTTTTACGATACTAAAGATTTTGTTTGTTTATATTATGTTGTGTAACCACTGAAGTTTTAGTTAAAGGTCAAGGCTCAAGTTTATTCGTTTATGCCACAATATCACTATCGTCAATAGGAGTCATTTTTAACTAATGAACAAACGCTAACAAAATTTGATTTGCATAATTATGATTTCATTCCTAATTGGCTAGCAGTAAGCTTCACCTGCCTGACGGCATTTGCTATTACGTTGAATATGATGACTAGGATCGAATGGTGCAGCACAACTAGAATTGCTTTAACATATTGCTATGAATCAGGTTTATGAAAATGTTCCTCCCAGAAATGATTCAAGTTTTCTGTTATACACCATGGTAGTCTATCTTTTTTTGGCTGTGTAATAACTATCCTGCTTAGATCGAATGGCACTGAAAAAATATTCTTATAAATAGGTTTTCTTATACAATTTTGCTTCTTCTGTGTTTCTTCGAGGTACTGTGCTTGAACAAATGTGCACATATGATTTTATCATTTTTGTTCTCTTTTGCCCACTCGTAGCTTCATCCGCATAGCCTGCGAACGCGCTGATGAATAAAACATAGGCGAATCAATGCACGAGGATTGTTGGTGAATCGCTCAGAAACTTGCAGCCGGAAGAAAATCAGTTGCTGAACATACTGTTCACTAACTCTCGGCTAGTCTTTAACGAAACGTCAAATTTAATGCTGATTTGCAATATGGTCCCCTTTGTTACATATGTGTCATTGTAAGTTTTCTGCGCTGTTTGATTGACCGCTTTATTGGCAGGTTACAAACAGTAATGATTATGTAGTCATTGTAATATCAAGAACCAACTGCAGTGACCATCAATGATTACCAAATAGAAGAGGTCATGGAATTCGTCTGCTTTGGACAACTTATCGTCTCGAACCACTCATTTGGTCCAATACTTATTGGACGATGTCGTGCGACGTGACCCATGAACAGAAGAAACAGTGGCATTCTTAAAAATAGCATTCAATTGCATTTATAGCCACATCATATAAAAGCACCGCTTTGTCAACATGTCTGTTTGGATGCGAGCCCTGGTGTTAACAAAAAAAGATAAAGCACTATTGAAAGTGTCGCAGGGGCCCATGCAAAGAAAGGTGTTAGAAAATTGTATCAGAGAAGCAAGCTGCGAAATGAAGAAGTATGATATCTCGCGGGAATACAGGACATAATGTCAATTTCATAAGAAAGAAAACAACAATTGATTGGTAACATCGCGCGACACATGGATGACCAAAAAAATTCAAAAAAATCAAATATCAATCAAAAGTATACTACTTAAATTTCCCGAATTAGCTCATGTAAAAATAGCACTGACCGATATTCCAGCAACCGCTAACCCACTGGTAGAACAGTGTACATATAATGTATAGGACAAACAAAATACATAATAATGAGACAAGGAATGAAGAATGGTGAAAAGGAAACGTATTGGTGGTTAGAAATTTAGTGCAGATAAATATATAAATGTATGGACTAACATGACAGCATTGATTCGAGTAGATTCTGCTTTCGATAAGGTTATTTACAGTGCCAGAACTTTAAAAATTCATGGAAATCTAGGCAATGGTTTTGATTCGGTGTTTACAAATATTCAATTATATAAGTAGAATTTTTTCATTTAGTTATTTAAGTAGTCTAGTTCAAATTCAAGAGATGGGCAACCACTGTTAAATTCAGAGCAAGATGCGTAACGATCTTACATCTGAAGGTGTCGAGCCAATTGTGGGTGGAGTGATATCCGGAATAATTAGACTCCCATTTTTAATGACCAGTTTTGTTTTGGTTCCGGTTTCATTACTATTCTTGATGTATTTTGAATGTTTTAGATATAAAGGCAAGGTTGCGTCAGATTGTGAAAGTTTGTAGCGAAAGACGCCGCGAGTTCCACCAGCGTACACTTATTAACTTCCATTCAATCACTATTGTATGTTAGGTACATATTGGTTCTCCAGGTATTTTTCTTCCTGGAGGTTAAAGTGGTTCGAGGTCACACTAAGATGATCGGCCCCCTGGTTTACCGAATATTGTGGCGCTTCTGAAGATTTTGCCTTTTTGATTCATCATTCTGCAGAGTTAGAGTCATCTGCAAGATCAGGTTTTATGCATGCTTCAGTCCTCGCATTGTTGTAGGCATACTGAAGCAGTGTTAAATGCGACCTCGAAATGAAACTGTCCCGTGCTTGGGGATGGGAAGGATTGGTTAGAATTATTTTACTAACCGTTGCGACGATCATATAGTCTGATTTACCACCACATTTCAGAAATGACCGAACGACCTTATCCAGGAGGCTGCAAGTGCCCAATTGGAAGACTTTAATAGAACGTTGAATTCACAGAGACTTATGGAAGCTTTGGGCGATAAATTGGACGGGACAAATGAGCGTGGGCATTGAGACCAATCAGTGGTGATCGCCATTAATTACAGAAAAAGGATTAATATATTTTTGTTATATTATTAAGATTGAAAATTTTTGACAAAGCTGTTGATGTTAGTTTGTCATCTTGCCACCTGGACAGAAAGATGATTTCTGTCCATAGTTGAAAGTAACTAAGATCAGTATTAACTTGCTGTCGTGCTTTTTTTGATATTGTATAT